TTGTTTTTATAATATTACTTGATATATAATGTTGTTATTTTTAATTACTTAGGTTTAATCTATACGTTTTATAAGTACGCGCATGCGCTTTAGCGTTAAGTTGTAAATAAGCAATGTGAAATTTTTTGTATTTTTTCGAATACTTTGTTTGTTATATAGTTCGAATTTTGAACTGAAGAAGATCGATTAAAACGATCGAAAACGTTTTTCAACGCATTAAAATTGTGCTGGAATAGAGAAAGGTGTTTGTTTATTTTTAGATAATCTTAGATTTATTTCTTTTATTCTTTTTATTTTCTTTTATTTGGAAATACTCAGATTAATATATAATTCTACATATTAGAGACAAATATTCCATTTCTACTTAGGACAAAAATGTCATCTTAATAAAATAAAACTTTACCAAAAAGCGTATCATGTAAAGTAAGAATAATGCTTGTTTTTATGTACGATGCTTGTTTTATGATGAGAAATTAGCAACAAATCCATAAATGCTTATGATGATACTGATAGATATTATCATTTTTGTTTTTCACATTTTTTACTTCAAATTATTTTTAATATTTATTGCAGCATGTGAAACTTCTAATAAGCAAATAATTTCTGCAGTTTAAACAGTTTTACTGTTATTACATAGTTTTTTTTAACAATAAAAATAAAAATTTGTAAATAGAGCTGAAAATTCTATCATAGATTTTTATTTACAGTTAAGAGAGAAAATACTTGTTACAAACAAGATTTTAAAAAATTAAAATTTTTATTTTTTTATTACGTATCCTCTTATTTATAATTGTGTGAATAAAATAAAGTGACAATGAAATGTGTACTTATTAGCACTCCAAAAGTCTTAATAACAAATTGGCTGTTTTATTGAAGTACAATAATTAACACCACAAAAGAATCCAAGTACTTTATGACTTCTAGTCCATCCTCAGTGATTAATGCTCTGTTACTTCTAAACTGTTCAAAAAACTTGTTAAACAAATTAAAACTAAATTAAAAACATACAAAAATCTTAAGATTTTGTATGTTCTTAATTTCAAAAAATTTTCTAAAATTCTTGGTTTTAATTTGTTTAAGGAGTTTTTTGGGATAGTTTAGAAGTTAACTAGAGCATTAATCCTTGAGGATAGACTAGAAGTCATAAAGTACTTTGATTCTTTTGTGGTCTTAATTATTGTACTTCAATAAAACAGTTGATTCTGAAATATTAAAATATTATATTGCTAAATAACTGAAAAAAAAACGTGAAGTTTGAATTTCTACTCAGTCTTCTACATTCAACTAATGATAATGAATCTTTTCTTTCAAGAAACTTAAACTTATATAAATGAAACTAATATTACTTTACTTTTAATGATTACAGAAATTTAATTCTAGAATTGTTGCAATATTAAACAGAAATGTAATGATCTGTTTTTAATACAATTAGATTGTTTATTACACTTTATAATACATCATAATTACATTTAAAAATTTTGAGAAATTTTATCATTAATTCTGAAAATAATTGATACAATATAATTTTTTTTTAACAAATACAAAATAGTAGTTTTGATTTTTGTATGAAATTATGATATCCTGATGTTTCTTATTTTCAGGGAAATTTAGCACAACCGCAAATGTTAGTTGTATCTGATGTGAGCGATATGTTTATGCCACTTTTGGATGGATTTTTAGTTAATGTTGAAGAAGCTGAATCTGTTATTGAAACGTAATTACTTTTTTTTTGTTGTTTATTTATATTTTTTATTTTAATGTTTGTTATTGAAATAATTGTATTTATATAGTTTAATGGAAGAAATACCTTTGATGTTTGCGGATTCTCGTGAAACAGAAACAATATTGGGACCTGTTATACAAGCTGGATTAGAAGCATTAAAGGTTAAAATTTTTCTATTGTATGATTTATAAGAAAAAAGGAATTATATTTCACTTGTGTATTAACAGTTAGTCTGAGTATGCATAAATAATGATTTTAGTGATACATTTCTCAGCTGATTAATCACTTAAAAATATTGATTAATATCCAATATTTTGTTATGATATGATTTAATTTGTTTTGGTTTTAATACATTATTAAAATATTAAATTTAATAATTGATTCAGAAAAGCAAAAATGTGTTTGAATTTTTTTTATTATAATTTATAGTAGTGGCCAAATTTGTTTCATCACTCTACATTTAACAATTAATAGTAAGATTAAATTATCTTGATATAAATGGATTATTATTAATAAAAATTTTATAAAAATTAGATAATTATATTTTATATATAATAACAAATAAAATAATACAAAGAATTTTATATAGTTGTAAACAGACAAAGCAGAAAATAGAAAAAGATAAATAAATAAATGATAAGATACTGTGAGAATACGAGGGTATGAGATTAGACTCGGAAATCCTTTAATCGTCAGAACTGTTAGTTCTGCTCACTGCGTCACTGGATGGCTTAAAATATAGGAGGGTCTTAAATGTGAGTGAGGAGGAAGTCATGGATAAGTTCCAATTGTAGGCAGTTTGAATATCCATAAAAGTCAAACAATCAGGAAGGTTGGATAACAAATAACAAAGAATTTAATAGATATATAGATCAGGTACAAACAATAAAACAAAACGAACAAAATTATTAACTAGCTAAGCTACATACACTTCTAGATGAGAGAGTTTACAATTGGTTCAAGTAATAATAATAATAATAATACCTCTGGTGATTCAATGTCTTCTGGATGCATGGAGCTATTTTCCAAGAGAGACTTGAGTTACTATATAGAGTGCATTATTTTCTATGTCAGGATTCACCTTCTATATGGCAGAGTCATTCCTGGGTCAGCTATCTTCTTTATGGCAGTTGCGTATTATTCTGTTTGCCTGTTATTATGGCTGGTTCTTCCTATTGTTGACTGCCTACCACTATGGCAGTTTTCTAATTATTATTGACTACTGGCTGTTATCGGTGACTGCTCCAAATGGTGGGAAATCATCCTATTTATGCATAATTTCTTCCAATAGAAATTTGGGGTTTGCATCAGCTGACAGGACATACTAATGAGTTAATGTCCAGATGTTCATCAAAATTAGAGAAGCTCTTGTGAAGGGAAGTTTGATTTCCCCTTTTCCCACGAAAAACAACAAAATGTGTCATTTTTAATGCTAAATTTCTCACTAAAATATTACTTTAATTTACCAATCAATTTAAATAAAACTTTCCCTGTCCTACGATTCTCATAATACTGATTTCACATTTTATTAATAAATTCTGATAATTTGTTTATATTCAAATTACAGAAATTGTGACAAAAAACTGCAAGTAAAAATGCATCAATATTAGGTATTTTATGATCAGCATCTGTTTTCATTAAAGCAACTTTTACAGAATTTTTAAATCATAAAAGTGCCACTTTTCTTGATTTTATTGTCATTAGTTTAGCTTCTATAATAAAAGCCAATCACTGAAATGAAAGTTGTTTCAGAAGAACATTCATCAATTATTGAAACCTATTAACAGAAGGACTAATCATTATATATGTAACTCACAAAATATTCCTCCTAAAAGACAGATGCCAGACAATAAAATGTCCAATAAAGATGAAATGGAAATTCAATAATTTTTTATTGGCAATTTTAACGTTTGATTTCTTTTTTGTTTTTATAAATATTAAATTTATATACTTGCATCTAAATATCTCATATTTTTTACAATAACATATAAGTTTAAATGTTTGTTACTAATTACTAATGATTATATGAATTCCTGTTATTCATTAACCTTATTGCTTTATTTAATTCTACATCTTGTTCAATATTCTCTATATAGTAGAGACATATTATATTGTAATAGTTATGCTAGCCAATGAAATTCTGACATTTTTCATTCACTCAGTTATTGTTTAGAATATGCATGAACATATATTTTACTAGTGTTTTCTAATTTTAAAATTATTTATTAATAATTTAAATTTTATACAAATGTTGCTTTAATTTATATAAAATGGAGTTTTACCTTATAGAGTTTAAGACTTGAAGTAATTTAACGAAACGGTGAATATGGCATCTTTAATTCTGATTTCATTAACAAAATGGCAGAAAATAATGCTGATATGTAAAACATCTTTTACAGGTGGTTAGTTAGTTTCATTGACAGTTAAATCATGCGACACAATAATTTCCATCCTAATAGCCTAACAACTGGATGGCCAAATGGTCAAGGTGGCAACCTACCATTCTGGGGGACCCAGGATTGAATCCAGACAGGTTGAAAAATCCACAGGAATTTTTTGAGGGCAGTTCTTTCAGATATGTCAGGCCCATTCCCTCACCATCCTGCCACCCCATTGTGGGCCTGGCGAACTCATAATGGGCTTGCTATTAGAGGCCCTCTTATTACCCACAGGGTGGAAAAAGTTAAAAAAATCCTAATAGACTAAACTCATTGCTGTTTTTATTGCAATAACTGAATTTTTAATGGCAAATAATTATATACATTTAAAATGAGAGCTCTAGCTTGACTGTGCAAGTTTACAGTGAGTTGTTTTGTACAACTCACCTCAACCAAAAGAAAGAAAATCTTCATCATTATAAAAACTAGTTTTTACTATCATATTAATAATAATACAGTGGAACCTCGGTATACGTCTGCTTTCGAATACGTCCAATTTGGAATACGTCCTGTTTGGACGAAACAAATTTTGCTCGGTATACGACTTTTGTTTGGTATACGACTTAATTCAATTATATGCGCCATCTATGAACAAGTAGCACTATCGGTGTACTACACTAGACTAGACGTTCGCGGTGCCACGGTTTATAACTTTGTTAAATTTCTTCTGATTTTAATTTGTAAGTAACATTTTATTATTTTTATTAATCACAAATTGCAAAAGGGCAACAGAAAAATAAAAAAAAAATGACTAGGATCACAACGGAACTGAAAAAAGAGAATGTTGAGAAATACGAAGGTGGCACACGTGTTTGAGATTTAATGAGATTTAACTGTTGCATTCCATATTCCGAGAACGACAATCGTGAAAAATAAAGACATTATTAAATCTGCTAACGTTGTGAAAGGGGTTAAATCAATTTCTAAACAGAGATCAAAGACATTAAATCATGTCGAGAAATTGCTTTTGCTTTGGATAACTGAAAAACAGTGTGCCAGCGACAGCGTATCGGAAGAAATTATTTTTCGAGAAAGTTAAAAGGATACCCGCTGATCTCATGAAAAATCAAGCAGAAACTAGCGAGGAAAGCGAGGTGTTTAAAGCCAGCCATTTTTTTTATATGAGAACGGATTAATCATTTTTACATTACTTCTTATGGAAAAGGTTAGTTTGGTATACGTCCTATTCGGTATAAGTCCAAACACCAGGAACGGATTAAGGTCGTATACCGAGGTTCCACTGTACTCTGATAATACTTATCATAGTAGTAATACTACTTTTAGCTTTATTTTTCGGAAAACTAAAAATGCTATCATTTTTAGTCTATCTAAAAATAAAGCTAAAAATACTAAGACCTCAGTGGCATAGATTTGACTAAATTTTGAATATATTTAGTTGATAAATAATGATACCAAATATTGATCAGTATTTTTTGTAACTGATTTTCAGTAGGCAACTTTCTTGCAACAAACTATCTCATCTGAACAAATTCTCAGTTACATTCAGATGAGGTCTGTTTTTAGGACAAGAGTCAATTATTAACTTTTGCATTAATGATGATAATCTATAATCTGATAATAAATTAAAAATGAATTCAATGTAAATAGTATACAGAAATGCTTATTTTGAAATGTTTAAAAGGAACTTTTTCTTATTATGTTATGATTCAGGATAGAATCATCATAAAACAATTTTCTTAATTGTTTTTGTTAATTAAATTACAAATTATTGTTGTTTTAAATAGTAAGCTTTAAAAGATTTTCTAGAAAACTGAGAATCTGTTGACCAGCGATGGTACATGTACCCAAAATGACATATTGGAAAAATTTGTTTGATACACAACATATTATATAATTTTGTTTAATTTTATTGTATAAATTTTATAGAATTATTTTATATATTTCTTTGTATTGATTGTTTTACATTACTTTGTTTATGAATATCTTTTTAAGATTACTCAACTTCAGTAATTTAAATCAGTAACTAAAAAAAAGGATTGAGTCACTGTTTATAAAGCAACATATTAAAAAAAGCAATATTTATTATCTCAAATGTAAAGGAACAACTCTGATTATTATTACACAAATAATTAGAAATATCTTGTAAAGTGTAATTATATTAATGAACCCTGGTGACTCAATATAATGTGGTCCTTAGAGTCCAAAAAATTCAGTGCATGAAAACATACTATAAAGAGGAATCCTTTATGCCAGATTTAAGTACAAGTCATGCTACATGATGGCCACTGTTTATCAACTATAAAGTAAGTTCACCCTATTCAGACATTCCCTACTGTCTATTTTGTTGTGGCTTTTTCCAATTAAGGGTTAAGCTATGTTTATGTAATTACAAGTAAAAAAATAGACACAGTTGGAAAAATATTGCAGATTGAGCCAATTAATTTTGAACTGTGTTGTTAACTATTAATGTAACTCAATAGTCTACAATAAGATGAAATAAAGACAGCAGGATCTTGATATACTGGATGATAAATTGGTATCCATAAACTGTGTTGCCAGATTGATGTTTTCAAAGATATTTATATTGAGCAGTTTCTTCTCTAAATAAAATTTTTTCTGTTATGAAAATCAAATGAAGGTATGAAAGGAATCATTATTTTGTAAATGTGATAAAGTTAGAGTAATTTTAATTTGTAAAGCTTTCACATAAATTTTTATAATGGTATAAAATTTTAGTATGCTTGCTAACTCCAGTGATAAATATAATTTTTAAAAAATGATTATATCAATTCTTTGTTGCATTTGTTGAAACAAATGTGTGTAAATTTTTTTTATATTTTATCAGTTAACAACATTAGTTACATTCTTCTTTATAGGAAATGGAAGAAGATAGTAGTAATTATTAATCATAAAGAAGTATTTTTTATTTGTACTTTTAAATGTTAGGCCTAGAAACAGGCCTAGAACCTAGGCCTAACATAAAATAGTAATTACTATTTATAGTATTATTGTAGTAAATTATTATATAATTTAATAAAATTAAAGTTAAAATTTATTATTTCTGCAAAATGCATTAAAAAAAGAAAAATTAAATTAATATTATAGATTACTGAAATTGTTTAAATATTTTATTATAGGCAGCTGATTGTTCAGGAAAACTACTCATTTTTCACACCACATTACCTATCGCAGAAGCTCCTGGAAAACTAAAAAATAGAGATGACAGGAAATTATTAGGATCAGAAAAAGAAAAGGTAATGATATCTGAAATAAATATTATCAAATATGAAATAATTATAAAAAGATAACTATATTAACAAAACTGTTGTTGATTATTGTTTACTTGAAATAAGACAAATGACCTGCTTTAAAGCAATTCAAATTTTTTTTGGAATTGCTTTCAAGCTGGTCATTGGGGTTGCAGAGAGCTGGTTAGTTTACCAACCCAAAGAGTTTCTTTTTGCAAGGGTTAAAAAAATGGAAGAGCATTGTAATAAATGTGTAGAGTTGAAGGGTTTGTTAAACAAAATATACTTAGTTTATCAAATTTCTCTTTTATTCTAGGAAAAGTTGCAAACTTTTTAGCATTCCCCATACACTTAGATATGTTGATTATATCAGATCTTTTTTCCATACCAAATTTAAACATTTTTTTTTTTTATCTATAATAAAACATATGTGAGAAATGATAGAAAAATGTTTTTAAATTATTTAATATATTATCATTTGTCTTCGATTATTATGACTTAATCATTCAAATAACATACTAGTAACAATAGAAATGTTTATTTTATCTCATATGGATTTATTTTTATTGTTTTATAATTTTATGCAATCTTACTAATAGTTGAATAATGATTTTGTTTTTATTGTAGACAATTTTAACACCTCAAACAACTTTTTACAACAATTTGGGTCAAGACTGTGTAGCAGCAGGATGTTGTGTTGATTTGTTTCTCTTTCCAAATGCTTTTATTGATATTGCTACTCTTGGACAAGTTTGTAGGTTGACAGGTGGACAGTTATATAAATATTCATATTTTCAAGTAAGAAGACTTTAATTTTATATTAGAAATATAAAATAATTATTGCTGTTATAAATACTATATACCAAAATTAATTATAGTTTACTCGGGTAAAGTTTATTTTTTAGATGAAAATATTGCTTAAAGATAATTTTAATTTTTTTTTATTTATTTTTTTTCATTTTATAACCATGTTTATTTTAACTGTGTTTGTAATTTAAAACAATTCAATTATTTTGAACTATTCAAATGAAATATGAAAAACTGATTCCCTACATAGAAAATTAATAAACTGAAGTTAAAAACTTGTTTGAATTGTATCAATTAAATTGCTAAATAGAAGTCTTATCATTTTATAAACATTTTTTTTTT